AAGGGTTACTTCGCGTGTGATTTAAAAAAAATCCCCATTTCACAAAATTATTCAGCGCCTGTAATGATTTTTTTAATTATTAATACATGAGGTACATCTGCATTTGTGCAGCTACCCTAGACTATATGAAGGGGGAGTACAGTGTCAAAAAGCTAACTACGTGATGCTAAAAAATCCCCATCACACAGGATGCTTAGTCATACAGAGGCATGTGATAGGCAGTCTGCACTGGCAGACTCCGGATGCATTTTGAGGATATCATCAACTCAAAACTGTAATGAAGCACTGAAATAACTTAATAACTCTACAGAAAACACAATCTCTATTTTACATCTCGTGACAATCACAGGTGGGGTGGGGGGGGGGGGGGGGGGGGGGTTTAGGTCGTTATAGATGCCGGCCTTTCTTAAAGTGTATCATATGACACTTCCATAACCCCTTCTCTCCTCCTCATTAGTCTTAGGAAGTTGGGAGAGGCTAGCCACAGGCGTCGGTCCTCCATTCTCGTACAGACAGACAGACAAACATTCTTTTTTATAGATATGGATACACATACCATGAACACGAATATAAAGCAGGCACTAACAAAAATATATATATATATATATCATAAACTTTACCCAGAATATAACAATTATATATTCTAGTTTTGAAAAAAGCATGCATTAATCTGCTTATATTTTAATTCAGTCGGCAGTACAGTACAGAGCCAAGTTTTAATTAACACAACCCAAATGTAATTTAAGAACATTAACGCGGCGGCATAAATATATGAAAGCTGAACATATTTACAGTCCTCCGCACGTATGTTAATACAGAAGCTTTTAAACCTGTTTTGCTAAACGTAGATTAATTCTTATCAGAAAAATATGATAGTTTTATAACTAATACTTCTTTATTTGATTAAACTTAGTTTCCCCTTATGAATCAATGAATTAAATATTTCCATAATTGGAAAATATATACAAAATATAATACTTCTTTATTTGATTAAACTTAGTTTCCCCTTATGAATCAATGAATTAAATATTTCCATAATTGGAAAATATATACAAAATACAATTCTAAGTAAAAAATTTAACACAATTCCCAGTAAAAAAAAAATATAACATAAATCCAATTAAAAATCAAAAAAAATATGTCCCAGAAAAAAATAAAATCGAGCATGATTCCAAGTAATCCCATGAAAGAGAGTTTCCGCGTAATCCACCCAGTAACGGGATGGTTCCTCCCGTGACCTTATTCCTTACCAAGATTTTATATTGGCGATAATATTGCCCGAACGCCTTGTCACAGAAAACGTTGTCTTGAGGGCCTCACTACGATAAAGGGATCCCTGGGTTCATCTTGCAGGCTGTCGATAGCCTTTGTAACGTCGCATTAATGCTTTATTTTGTATATTGTTCTCATGTTGATTAAGTGGCATCTGCTGTGTGGGGAGAATTCGTTATACTCGGTGTATATGTTGATGCGGAAATAATGTCTTGCAATATCCGCTCAGTAGCGGATATCGCTAGGCACCGCTGTCGACATTGTCAACAGCTCGGCTCTCATTTACAATTGGGATATCGTCATTGCATTCGGTGACTAGCGATACTTCTCTCGGGGTTCCTGGTGATTAATATGCATACCAACTAGCCCGAGGCTAGTGCGACGGCCCCGTACGCTAGATTCCGGACGCCCGCCTGAAACTATTCAATCTATCCTCACATTTAGTGCACTAGACTTTCGACACGATCGAACATATCGTCAAAATTCCGGTGCTTTGGTAGGATTAAAATCACCGCAAAATTAGCGCCTCTTCGGTCTAGTGAGCAACAATCTCACTACGGTTGCGAAGGTTCGTACATTTCTAGTGTGGCGAAAACCAGTTGATATTTAACGCTCCATCTGACGGATAGAAACCAGTTTCTATCCGTCAGATGGTAAAAACGGATAGAAACGAAGTCAAAGCCGGATTATTACCTAAACCGGCCGTTCATAGCCTTGAACGTGCGCCTAAAGCAGCCATCCAACTGATTTCCGATAATGTGCAGGTTATGTTGATTCAACTCAATTTCCTTGTCGATGCAAATGAATCTCACAATGGTGGACGGACGGCACTCTAGTGCCACCAACCACTCGCCTGATTACGGTTAATGGGGAGGAGCTAAACGGATTAACCGCGGTTCAGACTCTGTGCCCGTTAACTGAGGTAGTCATAGAGGGGCCCCAGAACCGTCGACTGCGTCTCAGTGGCCCCTCAACAGAGGATGTTACAAAGGTCCGAGGCACCTCAGGAATATGCTTACACTCGACGTCTACAAGACGTCAACATTACCATGTCCCTGCCTGATGTTGGTAAGGTTAATGTTTGTTGCCTTTGTTAATATAGGACGAATCCTCAACATATTGGAGGAGAAGTCAAGACGCTATAGGAGGAGGTCAAGAAGTTATTAGAGGAAAAGTCAGGAATGTGGTGAAGCTGTTGATGGTTTGATGGTGCTTGAATATTGTTTTACTTCCACTACCACTACAACAACAACTACTACTACTACGACTACTACTGCTGCTACTCATCTGCATATCGCTGTAATCAAATTACAGTTCTCTCCCTTTCGCTTTATGCTATAATGTTTACTTTGACCCTGGAGCCCTTTCCCATGATCCTGGAGTCTTTCCTTTCAACCTGGAGTCCATCCCGTGACCCCCGAAGTCTTTCCCTGAATCCAGAACGGCTTTCCTCTCTTTCGTGAGTGTTCACGTCCACCTTCAATCAATTGTGGACGTGAACACAATCGATTGAAGGTGGCAATCCTAAATTGCCACAATCTAGGATTGCCAAAAACAATCCTAGATTGTTTTTGGCAATCCTAAATAGCGGACGCGTGTCTGTGCCCGCAGGCGTCCCTGTCTCTCTCAGACACTTCCTCCGCGTGAAGATAGACTCCGTCTGCTTCTTGAAGATGTGCCCTCCACTCTCTCAGATTCCCTCCTCCAGAATAGTGTGTCCGTCTCCATCCTGAGCGTGTGCCCTCCGCTCGGTGAGGTTCCCTCCCTTGGGATGGACGTTAGAGCGGCGGTCTTGCTTCATGCAGGTCGGCGTTCAATCCCCGACGGTCCAAGTGGTTGGATATCATTCCTTCCCCCTCCCCGTCTCATCCCAACCACTTATCCTGAGCTCTTCCAAGTGCTGTATATTGTCGTAATGGCTTGGTGCTTTTCTCTGATCTCCTTGGTGTTTTTCTCCTTTCTTTCGCCTTCACTTATCATTGGATTTCCCCTCTGTTTTAAAAGCGCGAGTTTTCCCCTCCAAGAGTCTCTTCTGGAGAAGTCTCTCTTGTTCCTCTCAATGGGTCTTCATCTGCCTCTTTTTTTCCTCCCCCCTCTTCACTCAGGGATCCTCTTGGTTGCAGCAGAGCGCTCAGTCTATCCACGCTAAGATTTCTCCTCCTGCAGGAGAGCAGGTTCTCTTCTACACTGAAAGTCTCGCGTCAAAGTGAAAGGTTTCGCCCTGGGTGGAGGGCGCTCAGTGTAGCAGGGAGGGAGAGAGAGAGAGAGGGAGAGAGGACCTCCTTCAGCACAATATTCCTAATTGACTCTTCAGGTGACCACGCATCGGCTCCTCAAGATCTCTCTCCTACTCTTTCTCCTCCTCTCCTCCTTCTCCTCTCTCTTCACTTTTTTTTGGAGGGAGGTCAAGGGTTACTTTCTTAATTTGTTAATTAAAGTTCAAGTTTATTGATTTTGCTTCCCTGCCAGTTTTCACAATTTGGACTTACTTTATGCAAATTCATCGTTCATTAGTTGTATATTCAATAGATTTCTCAGTTGTCTATTCAATAGATTTCTCAGTTGTCTATTCAATAGATTTCTCATTTGTCTAGTTGTCTATTCAATAGATTTCTCAGTTGTCTATTCAATAGATTTCTCAGTTGTCTATTCATAGATTTCTCAGTTGTCTATTCAATAGATTTCTCAGTTGTCTATTCAATAGATTTCTCAGTTGTCTATTCAATAGATTTCTCAGTTGTCTATTCAATAGATTTCTCAGTTGTCTATTCAATAGATTTCTCCGTTGTCTATTCAATAGATTTCTCAGTTGTCTATTCAATAGATTTCTCAGTTGTCTTATCGATAAAAATATTGTTGACTATTATGACACTGTTTTCTGCATACATTTATATAATTTACAGTTTTCAACCACTTCCCTCCTTTATCGGTTGCTTGTCATTCCTCTCCGCCTTTGTCCTCTTCCTCCTCCTCAGCTGCATTTATCTTCTGCCTTCTTCGCAGTTGTCAACGTCTCGCTCGTCTCATGTCTCTCTCTCTCTCTCTCAAGGTTCTTGGTGCATCGCTGCACTAGCAACACCACCTCGCTCCTCTGGCAACATCTTGTTCTGGCGCGCATTCTGCTGCTCTTGCAAATGTCTCTCTGCATTTTTGGCAATATGGCGCTCATCTTGCTGCTGTTGTAGCCTGTTGCCCGTCTTGCAACGTCTCACCTCAGGGTTGTCCCGCAGGATTTGTCTTCCGGATCCGTTTAGCTTTGTCTTCGTCATCTGAAGATTCTTCGGTCACTCATTCATCATGATTCGGTTACTCATTAATCGTGATTCGGTTAGTCATTAATCATGATTCGGTCCATCATTAATCATGCACCGGTTACGCATTAATCAGGCAACGGTTACTCATTAATGATGATTCGGTCCCTCATTACTCATGATCTGGTCCCTCATTACTCATGCTCCGGTCCCCTCACTAAACAAGGATAACTCATCATATGTTGACCCTGTGGACCTGTAGCGGGCGAGGCGGTGAGCTGGTGTACACTTGTCTCTCTTCTTGTCTCTCTCTTCTTATGTTCTCTCCTACCTTGTCCATCTTCTTCTAACTCCTTCTCTTACTATTACACGTACACCATTTCTCCTCCGTCTCCTCTTCCTCTCATTTTCTTCCTCCACCTTAACCTCCTCTCCTTCTCCTTCATCGCCCTGCACCTCCTCCTCTACACTTTCACCCTATATTCCTCCCTTCTCCAAGTACTCTTCCTCCTCCTCTTCTTCTTCTTCCCCTTCTCCCGTTTCTCCACCTCCTTCTTCCCCTCTTCCTCCTCCACCACCTCGCGGGGACAAGTCAGGTCCAGCCATCAGTTCCTCGGCGCCTCCTTGAGTTATAACTCGTGTCAAGCGGCGGCATCTTATTCTTCGCCACATCTTCCGGCGCGAGGACTGAGTCGTTTTTTTTTTCCTCCTGTTGCCTGGAGACAACACCTGTTGAGCCGCTTCAACACCCTCTTGCTGCCTCTAGAGAACACCGCTACAACAAAATGAATTAAAGAGGTAAAGCATATCAACTGCCGCTGTTTATCCACAGTGTGCAAAGACTTTCTTCTGCGCTTGTGAAGAGCAGGATACGGTGTGTGTGTGTGTGTGTGTGTGTGTGTGTGTGTGTGTGTGTGTGTGTGTGTGTGTGTGTGTGTGTAGGAGTTTATTGGCTCAGTGGCTACTTAGCAGATCAAAGGAAGTCTTGTTTGTGTTTTTTGTTTTGTGTGTAAGGCTCATGATAGTTTTTAATTCTGGCAAACCTTAGCACACAAACACATTAGAAAAAACTTTTTCAGTGTCAGAGTAGTTAGTAAATGAAATGCATTAGGCAGTGATGTGGTGGCGGTAGACGCCATACACAGTTTCAAGTGTATATATGATTATATATGAGCTCAATAAGTTCAGGAATCTGTACACCAGTAGATTGACAGTTGAGAGGCGGGACCAAAGAGCTGAAGCTCAACCCCCTGTAAGCACAATTAGATGAATACAACTAGGTGAATACACACACCAATCTTAGACGTGCGTGTGTGAGCCAAACTTTCCACGAAAGCTCATGGGGTAACTCTGAGAAAAATACTGTCATGCTCTTCTCTCGACCTGCCACTGACGATAAGGGCAATAGATGGCAGCAGTAGACCCCGTGTAGTGACATGGTGTAGGGCAAGGGGTGCAGTGCGCCCGCCTGCCCTCCCCTTCCCTTCACAGTGTGCTGAGCGTCAACAGATGTTGCGACAGGGGAGGTGTAGCTGGCAACAGATGTGAGGCTTGCGCTGCCACATGGCAAGTACCTATCACTAGGCGCCAGGGAATATGGTCGTGTTGTCATTCCTCCTGGAGAGTGGGGAGGGGGGCGTGTACACACACACACACACACTGTTGATGCTACTATTGGGGGCACTGTTGTTGTTGGTGGTGGTGGAAGGGACTTGGGACACAAAGATAAAGAGAAGACAGTAAACATGGTTTTGTCAATGGTACTTGTTCATCTGGTAGTAATGGGAAACGAGGGGGGGGCGGTGAACTGGTAGTGGTATCATGTCCCCAGGGAGCAGATGGGAGGCCAGGGAGAAGTGTCCCAGGGAGCAGAGAGGAAGGCACGTGCTCCGCTAGCATCCTACAATGTTTACACAGCCTCCCGGCAGCAGCGATGCTGTAGAGAGAAGCGTCACAGTCCCGCTTACCCTCGTGTATCCCACCACCGTCCCTGCCGGTGTAGTCGATCTTCTGCTGACCTGCCGTTTCTGTCGTTGAGAGCAGCAAGGACAGACCACGAGGCATTAATATTAGCGAAAGGGCCACCGGATGGGAATGACTTCGTTCTATACTTGGTTTCCGGTCCTAAGGCCCTGCACTGTTAACCACTGGAGCGTGAGGCAGGGAAGAGGGTAGGCGGCCTGCAGTGGATAGGGAGAGAGCCTTCTGTATGGGTAGGGGGCGGCAGGGATGGGATGGAGGTGGGTAAGGGACAGCATGGAAGGGGAGTAATCGGGTAGGGAGGGAATGGAGGCCTGTAAATGGGTAGGGGACGGCACTGAAGGAGGGAAGTAAATGAGTAGAGACAATAGAAAGACGTAGAATGTGGACAAAAGTAGATAAGAGAGTAGGAGGAAGAGGGGTGGAAGGGAGGAAGCTAGGAGGAGGAGGAGCAGGGGTTTATACGTGTATTCCCACAACGCAAGGAAGGAGTGCTAGGGTGATGGGGGAGGGGAAGAGCTGGAAAATGCAGTTAGCAATATAAATAATAAAGATGCATCAACAATTACTCTATCAACAACTGCAACACGAGCAACAGTGCCATGAAGAGCACAAACTCTCCAAAGGGTCACATTTATAAATATGTTAAGATAATTAATAAAAACTTCTGCAACAGCTTTTTCGGTGATTTTGGCTGCTCTTTAAGTGTGAGAGAGAGAGAGAGAGAGAGAGAGAGAGAGAGAGAGAGAGAGAGAGAGAGAGAGAGAGAGAGAGAGAGGGAGAGAGGGAGAGAGGGAGAGAGGGAGAGAGGGAGAGAGGGAGAGAGAGAGAGAGGAGAGAGAGAGAGAGAGAGAGAAGAGAGAGAGAGAGAGAGAGAGAGAGAGAGAGAGAGAGAGAGTCGAGAGAGAGAGAGAGAGAGAGAGAGAGAGAGAGAGGAGAGAGAAGCAAGACATCCTGCACTACAC